AATATGTTTTTTCACAAGAAAAATGTAACTCGTGCGAGTTGAATAATACACTTATTAAATCCATTAGTGTTTTATAAATAACATTTTTATTTTTGTTTTACATTCAAATATTATGCCATTTGCATGCATTAGGCAAGGGCTCCATATTTTTATGAAAAAGAATTGCGCGGTTGATTTATCTTTTTAATATGCTATAACTATTATATCAAATGGCAAAGAGGAACATGACAATGGACTTAAATACACATTGGTCTACAAAAAAACTAGTCTTTAAGATAAACTCATCTCCTTGTCTTTTGTCTAAACTACGCTCCATAATATAATTTTTATCAATTTCATCCATTATACTCTAACTTCCTCAATATTACTACATTAACCCCGGATTTAAACAAATATATCACATTAACCCCAATTATAATAATTTTTTGAATTTTTTTTTTTTCAGAAAATAATTTTCTTCTGAATTTTTTTTTTCCAGCCAGATTCCGGCGTTGACTTTTTTTTTTTCTTTTGAAAACTTTTTTTTTTCCTGAAATTTTTTTCCGACCAGTAAGCTGTTGTTGACCGTCGGTCTCCGGCATTGACTCTTTTTTTTCTGAATTTTTTTATTTATTTTTTTTTTTTTAATTTTTTTTCTTAAAAAAATTATTTTAATTAATATTACTGTCTTGGCTGCTAAATTACTATCTCGAACAGTAATTTAACTGTCTGAGACAGTAATATTGAATACCATAACAATATTAATAAAACTGTCCCAAACAATAAAATTATTGTATAAGACAGTAATACTACTGTTTGGGACGGTAATATTATGAAAATATTACTTTCCCAAGCAGTAATATTACTAATGTTATTGTGCCAAACAGTAATATTATTGCATGAGACAGTAATATTACGGTCGGAGACAGTAATACTACGGTCAAGGACAGCAAAATTGTAGGCCAAGACGATAAAATTAATTAATATAGTAAAATTATTGTCTCGGACAGTAATAGTATTGTCTCAGACAGTTACAGCACGACAATAATATTAATTAAAATAAACTTTTTTAGAAAAAACAAAATTTCAAAAAAAAAAAAAAGTCAATTAACAGTTAAATTACTGTTGGAGACAGTAATTTCGCAGATAAGACAGTAATATTAATTAAAATAATTTTTTTAAGAAAAAACAAAATTTCAAAAAAAAAAAAGTCAATTAACAGTTAAATTACTGTCTTCGACTTAAATTACTGTTGAAGACACTGATTTAGCAGTCAATACATTAATATTAATTAAAATATTTTTTGTTTAAGAAAAAACAAAATTAAAAATTTAAAATTAAAAAAAAGAAATCAAAGCCGGAGACCAGCGGTTAACCTGTCAGAAAAAAAATATTTAAAATAAATAAAGTCAACGGTGGTTGACCGGCGGTCTCCGACGGTGGCGGGTCAAATTGTTTAATTGGTGAAATTGGGGGTGTAAATCATGAAATTGAAGTTGAATTGGGTTTCGAGGAATTTGGTGTAATTTTGATATATATATAAAGGGTTTTTCTTATTTGCAAATAAGTTCGAATGAACTGGAATTATTTAAAAGACAAAAAAGTTGGATGTCCATTTTTTTAATTAAGTGCCCTTGTCATAGGCCTATTCGCCATTAACCCAACTAGTAATTGTACCCTGCGATGCATGGGACAACAAATTGCATTCTTTTGGTGTTGTAAGAATATAAACAAACGTTTTTTGATGTATCGTATGATCAAAATTCTTTTATAATCATTCATTAATAATTCATCAGTGGAACATTAAGTATACTACACACAAAAAAAAATAAAAAATAACTTTACTGTTGAATAATTTTCCAAATGAATTGAATCAGCTAATACCAGTAGATTGAAAATTTGAACCAGGAAAAAAATCATCATCTATGTCTTTCATGTTGAGCTTAAAAGTAATTAGATTCAATAACTTAGTTAACATAATCAAAACTAAACTATCGACAACATACCATCGTAAAATGCCATCTATACATCTTGCATCGGAACTAAGCCCTTCTCCACTGCCTCATTTTAAGGCTGTTTTGCCACTGGAATTAACAATTGGAAAATTAAGAAACAAAAATAAATATAAACTATACATTAAATATCGCATACAAACAATAAGTCTTGAATGTCGACTTCCAATAGCTTGTGGCTCCGCCCATTTTTGGTTAATTCTCTCAAATCATCCCTTTCAATAACATGTCCAATAACATATAAAATGAAATTATTGTTATACATAAAATTTGAAATCTTTGGTATAAATTAATGAAACACATAATTTAACAAAATGAAATTACCTATAAGCCATGATGGAAAAAGATGTAAACTAATTACCACACAGTCAATAGGATGAAGAAGAAGATAAGAAACAAAATCTAAAGTCGGGTTACCAAAAAAAAGAAGCCTTAGGTAGGGAAGAAATAAAATTCAAATGTTGCAGACATTCTGTAAAACGATGTCATAAAATCCGCTAGGTATGAAAATCAGATTTATTTACCCTTTTCTGTAAAAATCGAAAATCAGATTATTATAAATAATATCTAGGAGATAAAAATTTGATGAAAATCGATAATAATATTTAAAATAATATTTAGGAGATAAAAAATTGATAAAAGATCAAAAAATAATATTTAGGAGATAAAGATCTGATAAAAATCGAAAATAAACTTTAAAATGATAGTTAGGAGATAAAAAATTGATAAAAATCGAAAATAATATTTAAAATAATGTTAATGAGATAAAAGTTGATAAATACACAAAATAATAATTAGAATAATATTTATGAGATAAAATATGATTAAAATCAAATTATTATTTAAAATAATATTTAGGAGATAAAAATTTGATAAAAATCGAAAATAATATTTAGGAGACAAAAATCAGATAAAAATTGAAAATAATGTTTGGGAGATAAAAAACTAATAAAAACATGATAAAACTCGAAAAAAAAGTTATAAAATTCGAAAATAATATGTAGGAGATAAAAATCTGCTAAAAGTTGAAAATTATATTTAGGAGATATAAATTTGATAAAATTAAAAAAATATTATTTATTATAATATTTAGGAGAAAGAAATTTGATAAAAATAAAAAAAATAATATTTAGGGGACAAAAATCTGATAAAAACAAACAATAATATTTAAAATAATGTTTAGGGGATACAAATATGAAAAAATTCGAAAATAATATTTAAAATAATATCAAGGAGATAAAAGTTTGATAAAAATTGAAAAACAAAATTACAAATATGACATTAGGGTTTCTTAGGGTTGCCCTAGCGTTTCTTTCTTTTATATATAAGATTAATAATATTAAGTAATAATTGTCTTTTTATTTAATAAGTCTTAACAAGTAAAAATCGAACAAAATGGTAGTTAAATTATAAAAATGTAAATTACAGTACGGTATGGTATAACCGTGGTATTAGAAATTCAATACCACTATCGTATTGCAATATAGTGGTAAAGTACTGAATAATAATACCGTACCGAATGCAATTGTAACGGTTATTTTCATAATGTTTCGGTTATTTTCAATTGGTATACATTGGTACATGCTTATTAGTACGTGTTTGTATATTTGGGTAGATATCAACGTCCAATTTTGTAAGTATATGAAGAGAAAGAGAAGCAATGCAACTCCAAGCAACTTCTTCTCCAACCTTGGATTAATATTCAATAGCCTAAAATTTCAAAAGAATCATACTCAATATGCATTAAATAAGAGCAACTCTAATAGGGGGGGTTTTTTTTTCATTATTTTATTTTTGGTCCAATGTAAAAAATTTATATCAGAATCGAAGTGAGTACAGATTTTCTGGTGTATACCCCAGATGTTTTACAAATTCAAAAAGGAACCCCAAAACTATGTAAAATCTAACACTATCACCCCTGTAACAAGTGGTCATAATGCAAACATGACAATGACAATAATATTGGATAAACAATTAATTAATTATTTCTTGTTTTGATTGGAAATAAATTCCTCTACAAATGCTTCAGGACTTTTTTTTTAATACAATTAATAGTGCAGGAAAAGAAAATTAATATAAATGTTTTCCCATTTTCTCTTCACTGTTTCCCGATAATGAATTTGTATTTCTTAAACTTTTCAATCAAATTCTAAAAAGCAATTCCAAAAGTTTATTGCTCCATTAAACATAATTTGACTATTACAATAACAAAAAATATTTTCACTAAAAAACAAATAAATATTACATTATTTTTTTAATGCTTCTTCTATAAAAAAAATTGTCCCAAATATATACCTTTAAACATAATTTGACTACTGCAGTCTTTTCATTCATGTCCAAAATATAAACAAACATTACTTTTCCCCAAAACAAACATTGGATTTTCAATATCAAATTTATTAAAATCTTAACATCATTTTTTTTAGAAGAATGTCAAGTTTATTAAGCTTGTTTGAATAATAATTCTATAAATTGAGTTTGAAATGACTGGGCCTCTTTTTTCTTTTTCTTTTTCTTTTTGTTTTTTTTTTTTTTTTTTTGATAAATTTGTGGGGTTGATTAATAAAACATAACTTTAAAAAAAAATTAATGGTAAAGCAAATTAACTTTTCAACCTACTAATTAAGCCCACGAGTGGTGTACTAACAGTTCGAGACGAGCAAAAAACAGATTGTGTCAATTGACCAAAATTTGAATTTATGATTTGATGCAGGTCCTTTCATTAAAATAAATAAATAAAAATAAAAAAAAGCAAAAAGTCACATAATAATTAATATAATATAACATCCGTAATCCCAACATAACTACATATGAAATAAAATTGTATTAATAAACACATACAATACTTGTAATCCTACAAACTCATCAATACCTCTCTTTTTTCATTTTCAAAAAAAGTAGCAAAATTCTCACTCATTTCTCCATAAATGAAAATACAGTAAGCAAATCATAACAAATGATAATTAATATATTTTGGCAAGTTACAGATAATAAACATTGCACCATAAGTAAACAATAGCCAAACAAAACCTTGTATATAAAACAAATATCACTAGTTTTGATAACTCCGACAAATTCAAACATCGTTTATTCAATAAAATAAAATAAAAGCAAGAGAATCAAGTACTCGTCCGAGGACCGAGTTTCTCTTGCAAACCCCATACGACAAACAACAATGTGTGCTCAAAGTCACACGACACAGACACTTCGACGCTAAAACTCGTTTACTGACAAAACAAAATAAACCAAACGACCAATAAAAAGAAAAATGAAAAAACCAAAAAAAAGAAAAACAAGACCGATAACGATAAAAAGATATTCCCAGAGACAGTAAAAGCTGCTAATTATTCTGAAATTTTCCGACCCCCAAAAAGTCGATGAATTGATAGTTTTTCATTCTTTGCTCCTCCTTCCTTCGCCTGAGGCGCAGCAGATCTAGCACGAGACATCATAGGATCTCCATTGTTTTTTCCTAGATTGGCGTAATAGCCATTTCCAATGTTAGTGTTCTCAAATGGATAAAAGCCACCTGGATTGGGACGGTGGGCCCCAAACAAAGTCGAACCCCCTGCATAGATGGAAGAGGAACCACCCGCACCACCATTGAATAAGGGCAAATCGGTCTTGTTTCCCCACCACGCCACATCAGCAAATTGAGAAACATTAGTGAGACCACCCGATCCACCGGAAAAATCCATAGATCCTCCCATGTTGGGAGGAGCCGCCCAGTAAGGGATCTGCGGTTCTTTGGCTTTTTTTCTAGTTGCCGCCAATGAGTGGTACAGATTCTTCAGTTGACAATCAGTTCTGCCACGGAAAAACTCTACAAAAGAGGACCACTTGCTCCCATGGTCTTTGTAAAGCTGGAGAATCCTCTCCTTCTCTTCTTCGCTAAACGGTGTTTTCACAACCTGTGGATTCAGATGGTTCATCCATCTCGCCCTACAGCTCGACCCTGTTTCAGATCCAAACAACTTCCGTTTCTTAGATTTATATATATATAAAAAAAAATCAAGAAATGACAAAAATTTAATAAATCAATTACACTAAAACGCGTACCTCTTCTTCCCTTCATTTTCTTTCCGATTGTGCTCCAATTCCTTGGACCGTGACGTATGACAAGTTCAACAAGGAGCTTATCTTCATCGCACGACCAATGCCCTTTTCTGCTTTCAGGCTTCCTCTTCAATGATAGGAAGGCCTCCATTGCCAAACAGTAAAAGGGCACAAAGTTTTCTATGGTGTTTTCAATCGAGAGGCGCAAGCCCGGATTATATAGGAGGACGGGTAATAATTGTTATGCATGGACGCATAGCTGGAGAGTTAATACATAATCACTTTTGTCAATCCAGTGAGATTGCTTAAATTTGATACCTAATATTCACTGAATACACTCCAAACGCTTACCATTTAACGGAGTAATAAATTACGCTAATTTCCTCGATAACTGTCTTACACGCGTCCCATATATGTGTAAGCACCCATGAGGCGCTGGCTTATCCCTGGACATTAAATTGAATTCTTTTGCCAAATAATACGTCTATTACAAACTAATGGGAAAAAAACATGAATTGCAAAAATCCGTGATTTTTGGTGCTCGATTATCGAACCCCAATAGGAAACTGAATAATGTGACTGCACGGCTTTTAAGCATTAAGTGATTTTAATTCATCCTGATAGTGCCTTTAAAGGGGTATGATAGTAACACGGCTCGGTGATAATAATACACTGGTGTTCTCATGATGCAGGTTCATTTGAAAATTCTCTCAATTTTCGTTAATCTATAGGCGAGAAAATTTAACACAATTCCTACCAGGAAAGAAATTTGACAAACTGTCCAATACTAATAAAGAAAGTGGATGTTGACAAACTTTCTAAATAATAACGAGCATGTATTTCCAAATTCGAATGGCTTGTCAGCCTGCCAATATATGCAGCTAATCGATTGAAACGACTGAGTATATATTACAGGGTGAAGTAGAATGCAAATGCACATACTAAGAGATGATATCTAAACCATACACAACTCTATTAAAAAGCATAACCATTCTTTGCTCAAAGAGTTATATCGTATATGTTTTTCCATTGCAATTGAATATTCCAATTATCTATAGAAAATAGTACGTGTTATCTAACATATTGTATTGTGTGTCCGAGTCCATTTACCAGAAGAGCTATTATATATGGTTCCATTTGTAGTAAAACTGCCAATTATATTCAAATAGTATGGCTAATTTTACAAAAGAAGAAAATTTAAGTGTTTGTCAGAATTGAACAGAAGCCAGCGTAGCAAAAACGAAACTCCAAACTAGTTTCCTGAATTAGCTAGATTATATATTGTCTATCCCAGCCTCGTGAGAAAAAAATGACAGATCGGAAATACAAAAATATATTTAAATTTGTTCACAATAAACAACTTTGAGAAATAAGCCAACCAACCTTCTCGAAGTCACTTGCTATTGGTCCTGACTCCTGATAGTGACGGATTTACTCAGTGAAGTAGTCAAAAGCCAGCATCTCAATTTTCTGAGCTAAGACACTAATAAACTTAAACAATATATCAGCTCCGTACAATTGAAAAAAACCAATAAAGTAAAACGAGAAAATGGAGTTGAAAGTCATCTAAAAGTATAAAAAATCAATATAACTTTTTTCTTTCTTAAAAGCAAAGAACTTCTTCGGCGAGTCGTTGCACTGTATCCAAATGACCTTGATTTATAAATGCAAAGCTTCTCATGTTGCCTCAAACAGAATACCATGCAAATACGTGCAGTTCATAGAGTATATGAATGCTGAATGAATGTTCAAAAGTGATAGAACAATCTGTACATCGTTACGCTGCTCTACTCCTTGGATGAAGCAGATGAAAACCAAAATATATATTAATGAGGAACTTATCGGAATCCAACAAACTGTCAACGATTCGCAAGAAAAAAGAATCTTTCTTGAATATTTGAGCGGTTTGCTAAAGCAAATTGTGTAAAACAAGTTCAACAGCTACCCTTTGGAAGCTTTCGTGTAAACTCAATAGACCAGTGAATTTCTTACAAGCTTTCCCGGTTATACTTCCCAAACAGCTTTCGATCGTATGCTGCTCTAGTTTCATTAAGCAAAGTGGCCGGAGTAGAAACATGAAAGTTATTTTCCCTTTTTGATCTATTCTTTATTATTTTTTCATCAGTCAGTAGTTGCAGGTTTAAGTTTAGTTTATATTCACAATTAATACCAATTATATTGAATGTTACTCCGCATGCTTCATAACAAGTTAGACTGAGTAATTAAACGTAAAATCTTGCAGCAATTTGTTAGCATGTTCCTAGCACGCTGCCCTAAATGTTAATGAGTATCCACCTAATCGTCTCCCAAACCGTTTCTTTTTTCCCCGGTTAATTCTCGAGTACTCAAAGAAAGACCTTAGCAAGAACGGAAATATTATCTTTTCGTACTTTGTATCACTACTAATTCAGTGCAGATTTATGATTATTTATTTACTGAAAAAAGACGAGTAGAATAAAAAAACCGTAAGCACCTCTTAATCCAAGAAAACCAACTCTATGCTGACCTTTGTTTCTAAACGTTCACTCGCACAATCTGAGGCAATTATACATAGTTAGACAATTTCAATGAGCCCAGAATTATAAGACCTGCAGAATTCCAGTTTGCAGTTTCAAGTTTAAGCTGTGCATAATTGGTTGCATTTATTGTAATCCCATACCATCACATTAACAAATAACAATATAATAACATGTAACTCCAAAACTTCCAATCGGCATCTATATTTTGTGGTGATCTCCAAACCAAGAATGATAGTTAACTTCTAAAGATTCCAATCGGCACTAACTTCTTTATTTCCAATTGTATTATCTCCTTTGGGGTTTTAGAATTAAGACTGCTACTCATATAATCAAGAACAAAAAAACCAAGATTTTGCATCCTTTATATCAAACAGTCACCACAGAGCCCACATGTCATTAATAGGAAAAGGGACTTCATAACACAACCCCCGTGATGTGCACAACAACAACAACAAAGAAACTTGTTTGTAAAGCCGTAATTAAAAGGCAGTAACTGAACATAACACCCCAAATAGTTTTCTGGAAAAAAAGAATACATACTAGTGCATGTAGATCCCGAACGTATACAAGTAGGAAATAGGAACATATCTAGATCCATCCAGTTAAGCCATATTTGTCAGCCACATTGTACAATACCAATTCCTCCCAAACATGCCCAAACATACGCTCCCCTCCAATGGCAAAGGTAAGAGCCCATGAGGATAGAATAGCTGTGAACAGCGTGAAACCAATTGCTGATCCAACAAGATCTGTGAATAGCAGTCACTGTATCATTTAAAATGAATCGGAGGAGTGCTAAATTACAAAGCTTAAGAACTAAAATTAGTAGATTAAGCACAGAGATTAAGGAAAAGTTAAGAAGTTGAAAGCTGGAGTTATAAGAACTAAGAAGGATAGATTTGCATTGTAGTGACAATCTGTGGAAAGGGAGAGTAATAGAAAGTGATTTTACGCATATGAATCGATATGTTTTGTATGGGTACGCAGATCAGACTCACGAAAAAGTAAACTCGGGAGGGAATTTCTGGGACTTTTTCAGTTCAAGGGAAGCCTCCTTTAAAGATAATTTAGTTCCCAAATGAGCGCTGAGTTCTAGTTTTACTGATAGCTTCATTTCAAAAAATTTAAAACAGTTTTCTGCTAAAGGCATTTCAGCAAGTGCAAAAATTGGCCTCAAAGTTCGACTATAAATTTTAAACTTAAGTTATTCTTTCAGTTTCAGTGGACATCATTGTCATCTAGCATTAGAGTTAGAACAAATTAATCATTTGCTACTTCTTTTTTTCTCCTTTCCTTCCAACCCCGGAACGTTAATTTTCTCCTTTCAAGTATAGGTAGCAAGGATTCATCATTTAACTAAAATGTTCTTGCTGTGGTTTGTTGCTTATAGATAAGATTGGTACTTACTAAATAGTTCAACAGGCAGATGTTATAATGACAAGCTAGATTCAATTGCATTATTCGAGACCATGATCGTGATTCTGATTTCAAATATTGATGTGAGTACTAAGCTCAGATGTGTATTCAGAAAGTAAATAATTTCCTTATATAATAAATATATATATCGGATTGACTTACATAAACCAAATAGCGACATAAAATACAACCAAATTTAGCTACAACCTGATACAAATATTCTACAGCTACCTTCACACTATCCATAAACTAAATGGTGGGGTAGAATTAGGTTATCCACCATTCATAAAAAATAAAAAAAAATTTTTTTAATAATCAGAGTAAATTCAGTTTCAAACAGCACAATACACAATATAGCACTACAATTCTAAATAACTGTAAAAAAAAAAAAAATAGACTTACAGGTGCGGAGGCGAGGGTTTGAATGATGAGAATGGGGGTGGCGAAGGAGTGGCCAGAAATAGAAGCAATTGACGGCCCAAAGGAAAGGCAGGCATAAAAATCCCAATTTGAAGAATCTGCGAGCATACGCAAGCGAATCTTCGTGCGAGAGGCCGAGCGGGCCATCAATGGTGGGCCATTCGACCCGGGACAATCTGCTGCTGGACGGTGCGACGTCGTCGGTGGTTGCTGTTATGGGAAGAATGCTCGTGGAAGCGCCGCCGTGACTAGGGTGGCGATCGGAGGTAGGGTTTCTGGAATCGCTGTCCATTTGGGAGAAATTTGATTGGGAAAGCTAACAAATTTTCGTTGGATCAATAAGCTCCGCCAGTCACCAATTCTTCAATTTTTAGTATGGATCTCGATTTTTTTTACAAAATTAGACATACACTATAACCGATTCGAAATAAAAATCTCCATAAATTAATAACTCCGTGTACATAATAATTTCTTTTTGTTCCAATTCGATGAATAATTTAATATTTCGCTAAGTTAATATAATTTTATTGTTTTCGATTGTATTAAATTTATAAAGATTAATTGTTGAAATTAATGGTCGGCTGGTTGGACTCAAGAATTAGTCAATTTTGTTAGAACCATTGAAAATGGTTTACTGGATCATATATCTAATTAAATACATCATTCTACACTATAAATACGTACAAATAGGTTTTTTTTTTTATAGAAAATATGTACAAGTAGCTACTCAATGCATATATACATTCACATGTATGTATGTATTTTGTTTGTAAATCTACGGTGCAAAATATTTCGGTATCTTTCATTAGGTGTGACATGGACAAGATTGTTAAAAACCAATCGTATAGAATCGGATTCACACGGTCATCCTTATCAATGGGTCTTTGTGCGAAGAACATTTGTCGATTTAGGTTCAATGTGGGTTCATATATCTTCTAAAACTTGTGAAATTTGTCTTGTTCGTTCTAAAGTAAAATTACATCGGTTTATTTGTCGTATAATTCATAATATACACATACTCATCATAACTTATGTTAATAATAATTGATGGCTTGAATGCAAGACTTTTCGTAGAATAAGTACAAGACTTATTTAGGGGTGGAAATTAGACGAATCATATCGGAAGTAGCACTTTTGGAAAAATTTCGATTTTTTTCTTAAGTAAAGAGTAATTCCAATTCCATTCGCAAAAAATGGAGAGAAAAAAACGAAAATCAAAATTTCAAAAATTGGAATAAAATAATTAATTACCAAGTTGAAAATTTTTGATAAGATAAGTGCAATTTTTTTAAAACAAAAATAGGATTTTCAAAAAAAGTCCGACTTTTCAAAATTATTTTCAAATATTGAAATCAAACTGGAAATTATTTCGATTCATATATATATATATATATATATATATATATATATATATATATATATATATATATAACTTCTTTTTAATACGGAGAGGCCCAAACTATTTTGCACATATATATATATATTTCTCTTCATGATTTTTATTTTTATTTTTTTATATGTATATATATTATTTGGGAAATTTACAGTTTTCGTCCCTCAAGTTTGCAACGATTACATATTTGGTCACTCATGTTTCAATAATTGACATTTTTTAGTCATTTCCGTCGATTTATCGTTAGTCCGTCAGTTACGGTAGTGATGGAAACACGTTAGATTTCGTTAGTTTTAACGGAAAATTGATGGAAATGACTAAATAGTGTTGAATTTTTGAAACATGTGGGACCAAATGTAATTTTTTTGTGAGCGTGGGGGACCAAATATGAAAATGGAGAAAACGCGAGGGATGAAAACCGTAGTTTTCCCATATATATTTACATTTTTTTTCCGTGCAGTGAAGAAAGGGCAGATTGTGAGAGTTGAGAAGGAAAAGTATCTCAATAGTGTAAATGTGAGTTTAATTAATTAAAATCCCTGCAAATTAATATTCTGCGTATAGAGTTCAAATTTATTATCCAAAAACCGACATTGCGTAGTAAATGACATTTTTACCCTTATCGAAATATTTGTCGAATTTCTTGGACTAACTATATGATGGGAGAAAGGGTGCATGTATGTAATGTAATGTTAACCGATATTAGTGTATGTAATTTTTTTTTCAGTATTTATCGGTAGGGCATCCACCTTACTACAAGGGCCTCGACTATATATACGAAGACCGAGGCGAGGTGAATCTAGATTTGTTGTGAAGCAATAATACCGATTATATATACTCTATAGATTTTTAAAAACCTTTCATTTTTGTTTGTACATGATTTTTGTAATAGGTGCTGGACTTGCGCGTATTTGAGACGGGCGAATACGCACTTGTAAGTACACGATAATACGCACGCGCAAATGCTTCCTACACTGAATGAACCAACTCCAATTATTTATCCCTTTAATTAATAAATACTGAGAAATCATTAATAATATGAGGGAAAATATATATATATATATATATATATATATATATATATATATATATATATATATATATATTTTGTATAAAATTTGTGAAGTAGTGTTATTGCAATGCAGATTGCATGGGTAGGAATACCAACTGCACCAGCTTGGCTTCCAACTGACATGCTTATCAAGGTAATAGAATTTTCCAGATTGTTCTTGTTGACAGATTATTTATTTTTATTTTATTTTTAATATCTTCATTGATTAAAAATGGCGAATTCTGACAAATCGCAACGGGAACTTGCAGTCGGATAAGCTCGATTACGAGAGAATATAACAAGATGGGCAAATATTATTTCAGCTCAGTCCCAACATCAGCTACAATAAAGTTATATATTATTGAACACTGTACTTTCTGCTGACAATGTGTATAATCAATAATGTATAAGAGCATATATAAGAACAATTGTTTGGAGATTGATAATAAGAGAAAGGCGTCTTAAATAGGGGTGTTGATGAGCCGAGCCAGCTCGTGAGCTAGGTGAGCCGGCTCACAAAAGCTCGAACTCGAATATTTCGATCTCGAGCTTTCTGACGAGTCGAGCCCAAACTCATTTTTAGTTGTTGTTCGTGAGCTTGCGAGCCGATTCGCGAGTTTTTTTTTCATTTTTTTTTAATTCTTATTTTAAATATAATTAATATAAAATAAATAATAAATTTATGTAAATAATAAAAAAAAATTAGAGGTCATTTTTTTTATTTTGAATTCTTTTATTATAATTTCTAATAATATTAAAAAGAAAATACATGGCTCAAGCTCGAGCTCGCGAAAACAGCCAAGCTCGGCTCGTTTGCACCCCTAGTCTTAAGCTATACGAGCTACGTACTGTCTTAAATTAACATAGTTTTAATTTAATTTTTGAATAGAAAAACAACATAAATTATTATTTATAAAGCGGATAAATAACGGGACAATTACACTTTTTATTCCTCAAGTTTGCGTTGGTATCGTATTTGCCCCATGTTCACAAAAAAACACATTCGGTCCCAAATGTTTCAATATATGACACTGTTTGTCATTTCCGTCAATTTACCGTTAGTTTATCAGCTAAGCGAGTTATGGACACATGCTTATTCCGTAAGTACTCACAGTAAATTGACGGAAAAGACCAAAACTGTTAAATTATTAAAACATGAAGAACTAAATATATTTTTTTTCTAAATACGGGGTAGCAAATGTGAATTCAATGTAAACTGGAGGGGCGAAAAGTGTAATTTTCCCAATAAATAACAGTTTAAAAGAAAGTAAAGTGTAATTGTCACATGGAGGGGAACTTCATTTAAAATATTAAAAAAAAAAACATAATTAACCAGTAATCATAGTCTCATTATTAGCAATATTAGCCCATCTATATTTACAAGAAGATCTATCTAGGGAAAAAATTAAAAAGTAATCACATATAGAAATTTATCCATCTTGCTTCACCGAATCCTACTAAATATTTTCAGAAATAAACAAAAAGAAAAAGGCAATACAGAACAATGTCGAACAAATTCTTTAATTAGCTCGTGAAATTCTCGAGAACGGGGGGTATTTCTGTAATTATATTTTTTTTTACGGGCCCGACAGCTGGGTTCTAATGGGTGATCTAGCATGCGTTTGAGCTCCAAAATGCGGGATTTCGGGCCATGGATCAGCACCCGTTCTTGAATTGGGCCTCAACGGAAATAAGGAGTGATCGTTGTAGTTATTATTATTATGACCGTTTTGCCCAACAGAAGCATAAGAGGGGTGCGGAGGAGAGAGAAAGAAGTTTCTGTATGCTGCTCCGTCGCTTCGTAGTGGGCTCGACGAGGGCGAAACGGGCAATGACGCAATTGTTCTTGCATTGTCCCTATAAAATAAAGAAACAATTAATGTTTCAGTTTCACACAGTTAAAATGTAACGATTTAAGCAATCTTATGTTTTTATTGCATTCAGCACCGATGTGTTTACTCTAATTGTTGAAAAAAAGCAACTTATTATTAATATTTGCAAACATACCCTATGATTCAATTTTTTTTAGAAAATTGGTCCTAAAAGACCCCCATTTAGGGGGGTTGTATGCTAAAAAAACGAATCATATGGGCGTGTTTGCTAATATTAATAACACATGGGAGTTTTTAGCAATTCGATGGAACACTGAGATTATTGCATTCAGCACCCCGGTGTTTACTCTAATTGTTAAAAGACTCCCCGTGTTATTAATAATTAGCAAGCATCCCTATTCAATTTTTTTTAGCGAACTACCAACTAAAACATCTTCGTTTAGGGGGTTGTATCCTAAAAAAATGCATCATAAGGGGGTGTTTGCTAATACAAATAACATGAGGAGTTTTTTAGCAATTCGATATAACACAGGGGGGGTACTAAATGTAATAAACTTAATGTAATAAATTAGTACGGTAGAATGCATATTAGTACCTCGGGCTTAATAATGTCCTCGATGCTGCCGATCTTGAAGTATCTTCGAAAGAACTGTTGCTCGTTCTATTGGATCGCAACTCTAAAGCAGTCTGCCATGAAAATAAATACGAAAAAATATAAAGAGTCGACTTCTTTAGGCAAACGTCGGTTACATTTTTCTCCAATTATTATTTCCGATTTTCATAATATATGTCATACAAAAAAGATGAGATTTTATTAATGAAAAGTCGAGCCTTTATTTTATGAGAAAATGCAGACAATAAATAAATTGGATTAAAAAATGCAAAAAAAAAATAAAAATAACAAATTACCGGGGTGCGGCTTCCATCAAAGGCACGAGGAAATGCTTCGCGGGTTAAATTGACGTTGGTTGCCCTCACTGTAATTTGGTTTCTAACGAAAGGGTGAGTCAGTAATTGTGCTGCAGTGGGCCTAGCAGATGGTTCCCTCTGCAAACATAGCCTTATGAAACTTTTCGCATCGGCAGATAAGTGATCCGGAATCTCCGGAGCATCTTTGCTGTTACCGATTTTAAATATAGCAGCAACCTATTTAAGAAAAAAAAAAAAAAAAAAAAAAGGAGGTTAGTATTTATGATAGCAATTTCGATTAGACGAACTTGGCGTTAATGAATTAAGTAAAAATGTGTAACTAACTAACCCCTTCGTATTGGCTCCAAGGTGGTCTTGAAGTTGCCATTTCAAGAACCGTACATCCTAAGCTCCATATATCCACCGGAAGGCTGTATCCATTTGTGTTCATTACAACCTAAGAGTCAAAAATATTAAATTAAATTAAATAATGTAATTAAAAAAAAAAAAAAAAAAAACCCATAATGGATATGCATTATTTAAGTTTGTTCGAGAGAGCAAACCTCAGGTGCCATCCAGTAAGGACTTCCTTTGAAAGACAGCATCGAAGAACATGAAGCAATCTGTAAAATTAAAAGGGAGTTACAAAAGAGTAGGATTTCTTAGTCTAATATATATAAAAATAAATAAAAGTGGCGATTTGTTTTCTATTAAATATTTAATTTTGTGAATTTAAGTGATTGTATAGAAAATGAGTATAGTCTACATTTACATTTCTTAGAATATTTAAATTTTGGTAAAAAACTAATCTTGACCACAAGATAACTATGTATATTCAGTATAGAACTACAATAAAGTTTAGAATACATACGTGTTTAGCCATGCCAAAATCAGCAAGCTTTATTTCACCGTTCGGATCAACTAAAATATTTGCTCCTTTGATATCTCTGCGAGAAAAAAAAGATGACACGTAAGTACATATTTTCGATTACCAGAAGAAAAATAATAAAAATAAAGGGTAAATTACAGCCAGCTCCTGAGGTAAGGTCAAATTACGAAAACACCCCTCATGTTTGGGTAATTACGACCACCCCTCTCAACTATGAATCTTCTTACACGTCCACCCTTATGGTGTCAGATTACACATAATCTTCAAGAGTTCGTGGAATATTCTCTAGTATGTACTCGTTTTGTGCAAACATGCAGTTTCTAATACACCACAATCTGATATTTACAAATTCTTTTTTCAAAATGTGGAACTCGAATGGGGTAAGACGGGTACGAACTGGAGAATATTCTACATAATTTAGAAGATTCCCCTAAATTTAAAACTGCAAGGGTGGACGTGTAAGAAGAATCATAGCTGAGGGGTGATTGTAATTACCCAAATAGGAGGGGGGTTTCGTAATTTGACCTTACCTCAGGGGGTTGGCTGTAATTTACCCTAAAATAAAATAACAAATGTCAGACCTGTGCACTGTATCTCGTCCGTGCAAATAAGCAAGTCCAGAAAGAATCTGACGTGTGTAATTTTGTATAACGGGCTCTCCAAACGCTCCATATTCTTGCAATAATTTGTGGATCGAACCACCCGAAACATACTCTAAATAAACCGATAATCTTTCTTCACTCTGTAAAACGGGTATTTTTGCTTAGTTAGTTACTCGATAATGGATATATTATTAGCATAGTACTGGAACCGAACGAAGTGAAATTAACTCGTACCAGCTCACTTCCGTAATACTGAACAATGTTTGCATGCGAGAGCTGACTCAGCAAAGTTATCTCCTGTTGAAATTAACCGAAAATACGTCAAAATTTTAAAGATAATAATCAAAAGACGGAAGATTTAAATTTTTATCGTTGAGTAAGAGCACCTGGTTCAGCTGCTTGAGACTTTCTTTCGATGATCGATCGTCTGAGACGACTTTAACTTCTTTTATTGCACACATTTGCCCGTTTTCACTGCAAACCAAGAAACAAACTATAACTTGGCCCCAAAAAAGAAAAGGGTAAAGAAGTAAATTTGTACGGGCCAAGTTCACCAGTAATCCTTACTACCAACATATTAAGCCTCGTTTGAGGATTTAGGATAGGACTTGATAGACAATACAATCAGATCTCGTTTAGGACTCGTTTGGGAATAAGGATAGGATAGACAATATAATCAAGGTGTATCAAATTTAAGGGCAAATTACGGCCACCCCCCCTGAGGTAAGGCCAAATTACTGAAAAACACCTCTTGATTGGGTAATTACAGCCAACCCCTTCCTTTTAAATATTTTTACATCAAAATTTATGTAATTCGGTTATTTACCGAACCAAATCGTATATTCATTTTGGTAAAAGGTATGAAATGTTGACGTACCGAAATTTCGGTTCGGTTTTACCAATATAACATCCCTAAATTTACCTCTGGAGGGGTATTTTCGTAAGATAATACATAGTTGAGGGGGTGGCTGTAATTACCCAAACACGAGGGGGGTTTTCGTAATTTGACCATAAGCCAGGGGGTGGCCGTAATTTGCCCCAAATTTAATAAACCTAATGGAACGATATTGAGTCGAACTTCAACCCCTATCGTAAACACGGAATAATTACAACGTAGAAATTCAAATACACAATTTCTTTTTTTACGAGCAACTACGAAATGTGCGATTTCTCACCAGTTAAAGCCGAGGTAAACGTGCCCGAAAGTGCCCCTCCCTAAAAGCTTTCCTTTTCGCCATTTGGAAGAATGAATAAACGAGCATTCCATTCTTCCGGGACTTCTCGGGGTGGGCAGCGCAGAAGGGCTGGCTGGAGCAGAACCGGGCGGAAGGGGCAGCCTATGACATTCATTCCTTCCTTCTTCGAGTTTCGGGCAATCCAAATGAATACCGCCGCCACCTACGCGTGCATGACGTGGCGACGTGGCGCTCGTGGTGCACCTCGATCCTCGGCCCGGGCTTCGTAGGGACGGACTTAATCTGTTGTTATCCACCTGTCCTCTGCGAAAAATGAGCGTAAATTTAATGTTAACAACGTTTAACTTTAGTGACAACTTTTTTTTTTTCTACGTGTCACAGATATACCGAGTTCTGATCGATATAACTGCAAAATCCATATACAATATAGTGAAAGTGATAATGGGAATCCAAAAAACCAGCAAGATCATTCGGTTGACTAATCAAGAAATCTCCGATTTACAATTCATTTTTTAAAAGCAAGAATATATGTAAATTTGTGTCGAAGAGGAAGCTACGTATAAATGTTCATTTCTTATAGAACATATCTAAAATTTGCAGAAGAGAAGTAAAAGCTAACCAGAAAACCGAAAACCACATATCTAAAGTGTATCACATTTTATATTGCAATAGCTATGAAGCACACAAAATTCACCGGAGGTGAGTTGAAAGCAAATTGCAAATGAAAAAAGCCCTAATACGCAATTATCGAGTTCGGATCAATGCAAACTGCAAATTCAAAATACAGCACAGTTTGAAAATGATAATCAACAAATCAGAGTAACTCAATTTTGTTTTAATTCAACTTATGAAGCCAGAAAAAAACCCAATTGGTTGACTAATCAAGAAACCCCCAATTTATAATTCGATTAAAAATCAAACAAAATCGGAAATCAGGAAGAAAAAAAAAACCTAATCGGAGGATGATCAAAAGTGATATGGGGCTGGTCTTCAGACGACCCGGATGAGCTGACACTGGAAACCGAACCCGATCCGGTACCGAACCCGAAACCCGAAACCTGACCCTGCAGATCGCTATTCGGCGATTCCAGAGGCCGAGGTAAAGGGTGTCCTCTATCCAAAGACGAAGCCGAATCGAAGCCGGAAAACCCGGTCGAGATTCCTCCTACGGCGGAGAAATCTCTGCTCTTTCTCGGCGAATTCGCCGACGGCGGCGGCGGCGGCGGCAGGAGGACCTCGTCAAAGCTCCTTGCTTTACTCTCTTTCCGATTTCCGCTTTCTTTCTCTCTCTTCCTTTCATTCTTCAGTGACGAAGACTTTGCGGAATTCTCGGACTTGGGTTCTGAATCTTTGCTCCGCCCAGATATTTTATCCCACCAAGCTGGCATTTTTGTTTTTCTTTTTTTAGCCGAGGAAATGAAAATTGAAAAAAGCTACATATAAACAGATAAACAGATTTTGTATGTATGTATGTATCTATTTGTAAAATCGGAGAAGATAAAAATGGAAAGAAAAGGAAATCGGAGCTGGGGTTTGTGGGGTTGAATTTATAAGAGGGGAGGAAGAAGAGGCGAAGAAGGCAAGTTGGAGAAAAGATCCCTTCAATATTGAGAGTTTTGTATGTATCTATGTGTGTGTATATATGTGTGTAATGTGTAATAAATTATGTATGTATAGTTGTTTGTGAGTGTGACTTTATTTTATTACAAGTGGGACTGTGGGGGTGGGAGTAGAGTATTTGTATTATCTGCTTCACTTTTTAGATTTATAAATAAAATAAATTAATTAAATAAAATAAATTAATTAATTAATAAAATAAATAGATAAATAAAATGAGAGTGAAGAACAGCTAAGCCAGTTGGGGGACGGCAGGTGGTAGTTGGATCAACCAGCTGCTGCTGACGTGGCATGCTTCATTCTATTGAGGCATAACCGTGTAAACAAATCGGGTCGAGATTGAAGCAAGTTTATTTTGATTCTATAAAAAAAAAATTAAGTTAGCGTTTTTCGATTGGTTTGATAAGCAATTGAGTCGAACTCGAACGAATTTTAATCAAGTCAATCATGAATTGAGCTCGAGAACTTAATTATTTGTACATGTTTTTTAATCGAGCTTGAGTTTGAGCCGAGTTTTATAACTTATCGAACGAAAATATGTGTTCTTATTTGGTTTATCATGCTAACAAATCGAGGTCAAACAAGCTTTTAAACAACGATTTTCAAATAAAGAATCGAGTAGATTGATCTGGTTTCCAGCCATACATAACCGTGAAGATTGTAATGAAATTTTCGATTTTTCTCCTAATTCTCGATCAAATCAATTTTGAAACAATATTTTTCATTCAAAATTTCAAAAATTTCGATATGTGTTTTTTCCGAATTTATTTGGTTTGTAATTGAAATATACTATGAGATCTTATTTCCAATCTATTTCCAAAAATAATTCCAATAGGTTCCAAAAACAATTTCGAAAAATACATTTATAATATCGATTTTATTATGTAATGTATTTTATTACACGTGAATAAAAAAAAATCAGAGTTTTAAATTTCGTCGATTCAAATTCAAATTTTGGATCTTGGGACATATTTTTTAGTCGCAATTTACAAATTCTGATTCCCAAGTTTTCCAAAATATTTTTGAACAAAATCAAATTATTTTTTCACTTCTGAAAAAAATTCCTTCGAAAATACTATCTCCCATTTCCACGTCAATATATAGAGGTTGTTTTATTGTAATATTTCTTACATTATTTATGTGTTAATATCAGTGTTCTAAAAATCGGCCGAGGCGGCCGATTAATCGGTCTCGGAGGCGGAGGCGGTCCAAAACCTTTACGATTTTAGTGTAAAGGTTTGAAAAATCGGTTTTTTGCCTGTGAGGCGGTTTTAGGCGGTTTGAGGCGGTCAAACATTTAAGGCGGGTCAAGCTCGGTGGCAAAAATCGGTCAAAAATCGGTTAAAAATCGTTTTTTTTTCTTTTTTTTTTCTTTTCTTTTTATAATTCAAAATAAAAGTTGGATTTTAATAAAAGAAAATATGAGTTTATGCCTTATTTTGTTTATGTTAATTGTTTTTGTTAAAGAACTAATGATGTATGTCAGCAATATTCAAGAATAAATGTTAATTCAAAAATTTTGCTTTTTTATTTATATTTTATAAGGATATTTATGTATTATGATCTTATAATTATTAAATTTTTATTATGTTATTAGGATATATACGTGATTGAGATATAACTATGTTTAAATATTTTTTTATATATGTTTGGAGTATTTATAAATAACATTTAGAAATATATTATATTAAATTTAAAAAACCGATATATTTTCGATTTATCACCGACGCACCGACTAATCGTGAGTCGGTGCCTGACCGACTTGGACCCGATTACCGCATTTTACAACCTTAGTTAATATATATTACACACAGTAAGTGTGTGGCTGAGTGCGTGTAGGATATATATAGTGTGTAAGTAATATTTACGTGTGTGTCGGTAAAATGCATGCACTTGACTTGGTTGGGGGAAAGTGGTGTGCGACTCGCCTACCCCTAATATTGCTCATTTATATATTATAAAAATAAAAACTTAAATACTTATTCAATTATTTGTTTAATTTATTTATTTTATTTTGTTAAATATATAACTTCAACATATTCCTAAACTCGACTGACAACCTAATTGCTAAACTATATAAAATTATTGCATCTGGGAAAATAAATGTATAGATAATTGCAATCATTACACAGAATCCTGATCATATGATTGAAATTAATGATCTGAAGTTTATCATTGAGCCCCCACACAAACCCTTAAAATAATTATTAAAATAAAAATAAATTAATTGAAAGTTTAAATTAGATTAAAAATACGACCAAGTTTGACACTTTTTGTTAATGGTTTAGGTGATATTTAGTGGAAAGTGGAAACATGATATTATTGGTGGTTGTGTTGTTTATTACATAATATACAAATGAATCAATCAATTTGAATTAAATTAAAGTATATTTCTCTCATTTAAAATTAAATAAAATGAAAACTAACTCCATTTTTATCAAATTTTTGAACCATAGGTCACATGTTATTAGAATTTCAAATCCTCAATTTAGTTATCATTTAGTTAAGGGTCGTCTAGGATACGAGTGGAGTTGTACAATTCGGACCACAAAAGACTGAATCTGGCTAGTAGATAATATTTTAAACATAATTATAATCTTTTATTTTAGGGTAAATTACAACCACCGCTGAGGTATGGTTAAATTACGAAAACGTCCTCCTATTTGGGTAATTACAACCACCCCTCAACCATAAATTTTCTTACACGTCCATCATTACGGTTTCAAATTTAGTGGAATCTTCTAGATTATATGGAACATTCTCAATTTTGGACCCGTTTTATCCTATTCGAGTTCCACATTTTGAAGCTAGATGATCATAAGATATGTTTTTTGGCATATATATATATATATATATATATATATATATATATATATATATATATATTGTGGTGCAACAGAAACTGTATTTTTGCACAAAACGAGTACAAACTAAAGAACATTTCACGGAATCTAAAATATGATGTTGAATTTGACGCTGTAAAAGTAGAGATGTAAAAAGATTCATAGTTGAGGGGCGTAGATGTAAATATCCAAAATAATTTTTTTTTTTAATTTTTGACCATACCTTAGGGGTGGTTGTAATTTACCCTTTATTTTAAGTACGAACCAGTAGGACCCTCGTTTGGTTGCCAAGATAAGATTAGCCTAAATAAGATTAAATAATCTAATGAAACTCAATTATATTATTGGACCTTAGAATCTAAGATCCAATAAAAAAACATGCCTAGAAGGAAAGATAATCCATGACAACATAATATTTGCGGGTCGACCCGGCAAATTATTGTGTATAGCAAACATCATACAAAATCCAACTATTTAGTTAATTACGACTAATCTTCCCAACCAAATGATGCGTTTTAACAATATAGTGCGGTCCAGTTAATTTAATATTTATGGTCACAGGTTAAAAAACATATTCCAAATCAACAAGTCAAACCACAATGCAAAGCAATTTGCAGGTTAAACAGCAAATACCATATATTGGAAAACAAATAAACACTTTAAACAAGAATGATGAGTGCTACAGTTTCAACCGTATAAAATCTGATTTTGATTAATTAGGCCAAAAACATATAAAGTTAAATCATGGACTAGAATCAAATCTAAAAAAAGCAAAAACAAATCCAACATACATCTGAGAAAAAAAAATAATTAAATATATTTTATTAAGGTTTCTATTGATGAACAATATAACTTTATTTCCCTACACACATTAACTATATTAAACACAATTAGATAAGAACTTGTGCAATCCATGAATTATAGATAAATAAACAAAAATTAAATTAAAACCGTACTCCTTAATTTTCTTGTTTTTATTTTTTTCACAGAAAAGAGAGATAAATATCATTGATTATTTATATTTTTTTAGAGGAAAGATCGACGATGATGAAAAAAACAATTACGGAGATTAAGGTTAGACAATTAGTGAAACAATAAGTTGTATTAGAAAATTTTCATTGAATATGATTTTAAAATTTAATTTATTATTAACTTCTAAATTATTTATTTTCTAATTACATTTTTAACTTCAATTAAAAAGGATTTTTATGTTATTTTACTTGTAACCTAAAGTTCATAACTTTTTTTTTTACTGCATACACACTTACTAATTCTACATGGCGCATTTTTATTAGTTGATGACGGTTCGACGAGTACAACTCTCTCGAACCGCACACAACCCCTTAAGTTAAATGTAGTAATCGCCAAATTAATTCCTTTTAACTAGTAGTAGTGTAATTATTTTTTTCTTTATAAACATAAGTACAATCAACCCTAAAAACATAACCAATGAGCATATAACCCTCAAATAGAAAGATTTTATGTGCAATTATATGGTTTGACATTTGCAGCTATTTTATTAAAACTTTTGGAAGCAGATTGACTTGTTTAGATATGATTATTGTGATTTATAATATCTTCATTAATTATAAAATAGTCAACTGCATCTATGATTTTATTATTTTCAAAAAGACAATTAATTGTTATTATCCTAATCAAAATGTCAATCGGATATTTTTTTCTTAGAATAGGGTTCTTATGATTGTCAACTATTTCACATGTTTAAACTTTAAATCCACATATGTCAAAATTCAAGATTTTCCTACTAGCAATTATCATGATTTCCCTTTAAAAATGAACCCATAAAGAGTTGACTTGCTTCTAAGTAATTCAGCAGGTATGGATGAAAATCGGATGAAATGGATCGAAAATAAATTTTTCGGAACTTTTTTTTAATTTTTTCGGAAATAAATATGGGTTTCAATTTCCATTCCAAAATAATCGGAATACAAAAATTCATTCCAATTTTGAATGCCTCGGAATCAAAATTTGGATATAATCGAAATTTTCACAATATTTTTCTATCTTTTTTAGCCAAAAGGTGAATGGGGATGCAAAGTGCCAAAAAAATTGTAATTCAAAGGTTGCATTCTGTCATTATTTCAATTTAAGTGTGCAAAATGCCACTAGCATGTAATTAGAGGGTGGAAAGTGCCAATTACCCGTTGTTTGTCCCATAGTTTCACCAACTTATTCACACATTTGAAAATGATATTCTCTGAATCTTCAAACACATGATTTATATTCCATGTTTTCAAAATTCCATATTAATTTAATCAAACAGAAGTCAATTTCATTGTTTACAGTCAATTAACAATTTGCTTATGTAAAGTAGATGATGTAATAAAAAGAGAAAGTGTGTTGTTCTCTTAATATTTTGATTATATAAATTAGGGTTAAATACTATTTACACCTTTATACTATAATATTGGTAACAATTACTCCTTTAAAGTTACAAATGTAACGCTTACCTTCTCATAAT